AAAAAAAAAAAAAAGATCCACAGTCTTGACAGACTGATGACTCAAGCCTTCCCAGGCCCCAGATCTTAGCGTATACTCGATCTTCTTCACATTTCTTCCTACAGGTATGTCAGGGGAACTCCTTCTATGTGCCAAGTTTGTACTGGAATCTAGCCTGCTTTGGGATTGACTGCACCTTATTCCACTTTAGAGTCTCTTCTCTGCATTGTTATTTGAAACCTTTAGTCTCGGTCGTGGCTTAGCCGACTGTGTGTTTTACTTTTCTCTTTTTTACTAGTTTGTGCTTAGTCATGTGCCAAGATTCTAGGTGGGAATGTGTGCATATCTAATGAGCTGCGCATAATTTACTGACGATTGCCTGCCTTAGTATCTAGTATAATGGCCTGAGGTGATATATGCAATTGGGCACAGTAGTGCAAGGTCAATACATAGACTAAGGAACTAGGATGCTGTACTTTATGGGACAGCAAGACAAGCCACAAAGGGTCACTTTGAACCAGAGACATGACTGAAGTGTGAAAAGCTAATCTAGCTAATGGTCCAGCGTTGTAGACATTAAAGACGGCATGTGTCACGGCACCGAGGGTGACCTCTGACTGGCATGCTCTGTTAATGGCAAAGACGTGCAGCAAACGAAGTGCAGTGAGGACAGAGAGGCAAGAAGTGGAATAAAACAAATCAGCCAGTTGCCACCGTCTGTGGACTTTGGTTTGAGAAGATGCCCTACCAACCTGAAGGGTAAGAGCGCTGGAAGGTTCTCCGGGTATTCAAGGCGAGGGAGTTATTAAATATTTATCAACTATGAATTGCAATTCACATGAATTGGCTGGCAAAGGGTACAGGTGAGGGTGATGCAAAGAGAAATGAACACGACATCTTCTTCCTCTCTGTATGATCAATAACCACAGCAAACACACAGACTTCCATAAACGATGATTCGGAACAGAAGGGGACTGTGGGAATTCTACTAAGAGATTATACACAGATGAATTAAAAAAGTGAATTAAAATTTTATTGGGTAAAAAGTCAATTGTATGTAGTGGTCATTCACACATGATCTGAAAGCTCATCCCACTATCCCAGGTGTGGAATTTTATTCACCTTGAATTTTATTAAATACTCAGGCATTGAAATCACAATGATTTCCTGCAAGCGACATTATATTGTAACCTATTGTTTGAGCTTCCAGACACACCCAGACACTAGCATTCTGCTCATCTGCTCCCTCCTCAACATGAGCCGCCTCAGTGCAAATGTTCTGGAGTGAGTGGTTAAGCACCCGAATCCAGGTTGTGTATGTTTCAAAACCCAACCCAAGCAAGAAGGCAAGAAATAAATATAAAACCCATGCTTTCGCACATGCCTTTACATAGATAAATATTTAAAAGATTTACTATTTTCTACATTCGCCACATTCTCGGTTTTCAATAAAGATAATGGCACGTTGGAAGTGGAAATTCTCCAATCACACAGTATCTCCTTGTAAGGACCTTCTGTGTTTTACTGCAAGTCTTCCACAGAAAAGAGGAACGACTTCATAAAAACACTCATAATGTGAAGCTTCGGGGTTTTAAAACCAGAGGTTGTGCCTGAGTGTCTTTCAGTCCCTGTGTACCAGCAAGCAGAGTGCACCAGCAGATTGTGTCTAAATTTTTTTTAAATATATATATATATATATACATGCACATATGTAGATATATACATATGTATATATGTATGTATGTATGTATGCATGTACTGCACTTAGGTCCAATAAGAGTTACAGAAATTGATAGAGAAAAAATTTGCATGAAGTTAGCAGAGAAAATATAGGCTTTTAATTATGTCCCTTGTCCAAAGCGATTGGGCAGACTGCCTGCTATACATTATAAATTAATTTCATTCATTATTTCCCTACTTCGAGTTTTGGCTGCCTAATTAATGGCTCTTATATAATTCAGACCCCGAGCCCCTCCCTACAAGGCTCCTAATCACCTGGCGCAGAGGCCCAGTGCAGACAATTGCCTGGGCCTCCCAGAGTCTGACTTCGACAGACTTGGGCCTCTGATTTATGGGGCCAGTCCTGCTGAAGAAGAATGCATAGCCAGGACAAAGCACTGCGGCGGGCAGATTGTGTGCCTGGGTCCTCCAGGGTGTCGCCTGAACGCTGTCACCAGAGCCCTGAAGCTCTGAAATGGTCACAAGGCAGCAAGCCCAGCTTCCTCAGCCTCTGGGGTTCCCCCCACCGCTCTTAGCTCTGCTGAGTGCAGCATGGTGGTGGCTGCCCTGGCTAGGCTGTCAGCTGACCAAAGGAGTAGACAGACAGGCAGCAGTGCTCCTGCGCAGTAAGCTTTCAGGGAACTGCTCTGCTTCCGAGGAACAGGGAGCTATTAACTTTGTCTCGCGCTCATTTCAAATGAAGTTACACCTTCTAGCTGACCTCTTCATTTTAGTTCCTCTCATGATGGAGAGAAAGAATTCCCTGTTAAAGACCCAAGAAGCTAACAATGCCCCTCCTGACTTCAAAGGGAATTTACTTATGGCCTGGAAATTCATTTATAAGCTTATCAGACAGTCAGACATAAATACCAAGCCCTTGGTATTCACTGATCCTGCTGGAAATGCATGCCTCAGCTGCAGGTGGTACACAGAGGCTCCATTCCTGAGAGAGTGCAGACTCGATCAGTTCCGACCTCGGCAATGAGCTTCGAGGCTGCCCAGATGCGGCCTTGGAAAATTTGCTTTATGCACGCTTCCCACCTCCCATTCCTATTGTTCTGCCTACAATCTTGCTGAGGGGGGGAGTTGAGAATCCACTGATCTGTTTGCTGCTGGGTTGGAGCCTTGGGCATGAAGCTGAGACATAAAATAAAATTCAATCCAGTGTAATAAGATAATTCCTAAATCCAAATGGACGTTAAAGTATATCTTAAGGGCCTTTCACGTGGTCCTGTGGAACTCGAACATTTTTTTCATAAATTCAGGGCACCAATTTAATAATGGAAAGATAGAATTTTCAAAGTATTGTAAGGTTCAGTGTGAATTTCTGCAAGTAAAATTTATTTCTATATTCATCTCTTGGATTACCCTTTTGCGTTGCAGATATTGAAGAATAAGATAAGGGCTTCAGTTAAAGGAAAAGGAGAAGGAGGGAAGGGGAGGGAGGAAATATATTCAGGGCCTTGAGAACTAGAAAACACTTTTGTTTTTAAGTATAAACAAATAATTCTTTGTTTCAGAGCTAAGCGATTAAGCAAACTTGCCCATCAGAAATGATAAAGTGGACACTGATATTTTATGACAGTTTGAGATCAAGTGTATTTGCTTGTGGCTCTCTGGGAGAAGCCTGCGAGGTCTGACTAGAGATGTTAGCATTTTGTGGGGCAGTGGTGTGGCAACGCTGACCTAAAACAGCTTTGAAGTTTCCAATTTTTAAATGTATTGTGAAGCAAAGGAGAGACATGCAATTGGAAGTGAGGTGGACATACGCATGGCCATGAAGAAACCCAAAATTCTAGCTGTTATCTCTCAGCTGACTTAACAGAAATAAATGCAAACCAAGACAGTGAATGTGGATTAGAAACTCAAAAATTCCATACAGCCTGACCCACCAACTTCACCAGGCACCAGTGGTCCAGGAGCCAAGATCTTCTTGGGCAAACGGTTCTTGACTATGCAGCCACTCCTCAGTCCTGGCACATTTTTTGAGGAATTTTAGGCAAGTCATTTGTATTGTCTAAGTCTCCATTTCTTCTTTTATAAAGAAAAAAAATAAACCTAAACTGAGCTTGATGATTAAATTCTAAAGAACCAGAAATCTATGTACTGATCCATTTGACGGTGAACGCAATCTGAACTGGAGCTTCCTCATTAGAATTCAGTGATTCGTCATGAACTTGTACTTGTTCATTTGTACTCACTCGAGTTTTCCTGAGTGAATGCATATGTTTGCATTATTAGCTTATGGTAAGTAAATAGTCCAAATTTCTGCTCGCATCTAGCTAAGTCTACACTGAAAATGGTACCTGTCAGTGTAAAGCAGAAAGACTTTACTAAGTATCTATTTCTCATGTGTACAACTTCTCAAATTCAATCAAACCCTTGTATAACTTTGAGTCTCGTGGAGGACACCACATTGTTTTGCTTTCCTTTTTTATTCTTAAAGCTGCTATTGAATAAGATATGTTTAATAACCAGTGTGTTGATGATATTTTATGTGTGTGTGTGTGTTTGAGAGAGAGAGACAGAGTATACATTTGTATATGTACATATATGCAAACACACATAGATAAAATCCCATAAACTCAATGACTACACAGGTATAAAAAAATGCAAGCTCAGTTTAGTTAGGCACCAAATCTCTAGAGCACCTCTGTTGAGATTAAGAAAGAAAAAGGAAGATTTTACTGCACAAGAATCTTGGAACTGGCATCCTCTAACTGAAACTCACAGCAAGAATGCACGTTCAGATGGTTACCCTTCTGCTCTTCCTTCAGTACTCCTGTCCCCTCAGGTGTTGCTAAATTTTAATTTGGGAAATCTTATGAGAGAGATTGTTACTGCGTAGCCCAGGTTAGCCTTAAATACATTACCCGATCCTTTGGTCTTAGCCTTCCTGGGGCTGGGATTATAGGCATGCTATCCGCCCTGCACGGTTTCCCTTGATGCCCATGAGCTTCTCTGGGCCCTCGGGAACCATCCGCATCTGTTGTGCTGGCAATTCACTAGCTTTAGAAACTTCTGTTTAAATTCTCCCTTTATTTTTCTTTTGTCCCAGTATCTTCCATCCCCCACTCTTTTCTTTCTTTCCTTTCTGTCTTTCTATTAAGAAACATATTCACTGAGAGGCAGAGGCAGGCTGATCGCTGAGTTTCACGCTAACCTGGTCTACAGAGTGAGTTCCAGGAAAGGAAGGATTAAACAGAGAAACCCTGTCTTGAAAAACAAAAAACAAACAAAAAAAAAACAAAAAAAAATCAAGCAAAGGAAGCTTTATATTGAATTGGGTGGCAAATATTCTACCTATGTACTTGGACTGTTGATTAAATTGGTAATAGGTCTTACTTCTGGGTACAAATGGTGTGGTCCTATTTTGATCTTCTGATTCCTGTGGGCTTCCCGTGTCTTTTTAAGGTTTCCTGGCAGCTCTCTGCATATACCATGTGAGGCATCCCAAAGCAAATTATAAAGGGGGAAAATAATTCTACCACCTCCTCCAATCTCAGCTTAATTCCTGCAGAAAAGTTCTTTCAGAACAGTTGTTTCTATATAGCTCTCTGCAGTATCCTTGGAATTATAAAAATCAAAGAGTGAGGTCTGAGAACATATTCTGTATCCTATGTACAAAAGCATGAAAATAAGTTCTGGGAAGCATCGTTACGCTGTGGCCAGTCACAGTTTTCTTTAAATAGAAGCCTTCCGTCACACTTGGACTAACTGTAAAGACTCGGGCTTTTGTAGTTTCACCCACTGAGAAACTTTGAATAAAATGTTTTTTTTTTTTTCTCTCTCGCCCCCACCATTGAGTAGACACACTCAAGTGTACTAAAGCAGAAAGTCAAGTTTGGGAACATATGCTGTTTACAAGTGTGTGAATGTACTGAATTTTAGCGAACATGTGTTTATAATTTCCAGAATGTGGTGTGTATCTTTATTTTATTATTTCTCCCAAAGTATTCCAAATTTATAATAGTGAATGTACATCTAATTTTAAATTTTTATTGTCCATTCCAATAAGATATCTTTAGTAACTAAAAAGGCTTAGAAATTTTCTGCTTTCAGAATAAGGCTGCTCCACTGAAGTAAAAGTTATGTCTAAGAGCTGAGTAGAATTGAGGTCCTTTCCTTTCTTCTTGCCATATGCCTCCAGCTATTTCCCACAACAGGAATGAGAGCTTGTGTGTTGATAATCTTGTCTCTCCAAGGGACATTTTTAGTTCTCTGATCTTAATTTTCTAGTGTCAGAGAAACAATGGAATGCCCCCAAATGTTTCCTGGATAGAGTGAGATAATTATGATTACTGAAAAGATATCTCACAGTTAATTTTTTCATTTGAAATGCAGCAGATAATGTATGCTTTTGTGGGACGCCAAAATCAGGCTTATTTTCTAAAAATTTCAATCATTCATTTCCTAGTTCATTGACCATAATTCATGTGGTAGCATGCAGAGTTGATAATTTGAAACTATTTCCAAATGAATATTTAGATCAACAAACTCCTGCTTCAGTCAACATTTTGTTACTTACAAAGCAAAACAGATATATTTTGAAATGTTATTGCTAAAATTGTCAATTTTTTTTTGCTAGATAATAAAAGCTAAAAGTAGACTGATACATAATAGAATTTTTCAAACTTTCTCCAGAAGGATAACAGGTCTGTGGATTTCATTATGGCTTTGTTTGGTTGAATATGAGATGTGGGGAGAAATGAATTGGACTGTATTTGTGTTTTAAGCAATGTTGTGGGAGTCCTCTCTTGTCAGGTGACTAATTTGACCTGCTGCTCAAAATTTCTTCCTTTGAACAATGGGAAGAAATACAAAGCAACACTCAGAAATACGGTTTCAAGAAGAAGATGAGGACCACAAGTTATGGTGTAAGTGTGGAAAGACGAAAGAAGAGACTTGTGACAGTAACGTGCTTCGTACTTTGTATGTGGACTGCATACGTGCATGTGTGTGTGTGCACACATGCATGTGCCTGCATATGTGTGTGTGTTGTATATGTAAATGCATATGAAGAGGCCAGAAAAAGATGTCAAGTGTCATCGTCCATCATCTTATGACAGTTTTAGAGGCAGGGTGTCTCACCTAACCTGAAGCATACCATTTTGGCTGGGCTGGTTGGTCAGCAAACTCTGGGATCCACCTATCCCAGGCATACATGTCATGTTCAACTTTTAGGTGGGTGATAGAGATTTAGCTCAGATTGTTTTTGCTTTCATAGCAAACATTCATTATAACCCCTTGAGCCAATCTCCCTAGACCCAATGATAATTTTTTTAGACATTGATATGAACTGAATTTAGTAAAAAGATGGAAATGCAGATTCTGAGATAAGGTATTTTATGTTGTTTTAAATAGTCTTTCTACTGGTGACTTTCGGAGAAAATACCTTTCAACTGAAATACTGCAGTTAAAAAAATCCTGAGGTCATTTGAAAATTTTCTGGGAGCAACAAAGTCCACAGCGACTTAAAACTATCAGGTAAGGAAGGCTTTTGCTTGCTTTCATTTGTCTGTGGAATACAATTTCAATTTTTAATGACTATCAAAGTTTATATAATATGACTGTCCTTTAGTTTAACTGCTGCTGAATATAGATCTAAACAATGTAATTCCCTCAGAGTTTAAAGCCTTGTGGGATGGTCACAGGTGAAGAGATCTACTATTAACCAGTGATACAATTTGGTAAATAAAGCAATTGATCAGCTTGGTTTACATGTTTTTTTTTTTTCTTCTGTGAAACATGTAATACTGCTGAAAGTCATGACTGTGAGCAGAGCGGGAGTAGCTACATGTCTGCCCTGAGCAGCAGACTACAAGAAAGTTGGGAAGAACTGAAGAGTAGAGGAGAATTCTGTATTAGAACTTACCTCAGTGAGACAGTAACATATAACTAAACTGCAGGGTGAGGTGACGCTCACTACCAAAGATAGATTTGTGTAAGCAATGCTGTATGTTTTTCTGCAGTCCCAGGGCAGAGGGCAGAGGCCAAAGGCGGCACAGGTTCCTGCCCAGCTGGGCTTCATAAGAGAAGCAAACCATCCCGTATTGGCTGTAGGAGAACCTACAAGAAAGAAACAAGCAGAGGCATAGAACTCATGGCCCATTTTGAAAGGTACTCAGGCTTTTCTTCGACCTGATCATTGTACATCTTTCCTGCTTTGCCACATTTTGCCTTTAACCAAATAAAAGTAGAACAATCCTTGGGTGTTTTTCATGGGCAACAAATTATGATACCTTTCTCCATATCTACATCTTTCTCAACAAAAATATTATAGAAATATATTGGGACTTAATGTATCATTGAAATCAGTATAAAACTAGTCAAAAAGTACTGTAAGAACAATTAAAATAAGTGGAGTTTTTTTTCACTTTTTTTATTGAAAAAAAAATTCTGCCTCCTCCCCACCTCCCATTTCCCTTCCCGTCTCCCTTTTCCCTCCCCCTCCTCCCTCTCCTCTCCCCCTTTCCCCACTCCTCTCCCCCTCCCTCTCCAGTCTGAAGGGCAGTCAGGGTTCCCTGCCCTGTGGAAAGTCCAAAGTCCTCCCCACTCCATCCTGGTCTAGGAATGTGAACATCCAAACTGGCTAGGCTCCCACAAAGCCAGAGCATGAAGTAGGATCAAAACCCAGTGCCATTGACCTTGGCTTCTCAGCAGCCCTCATTGTCCGCCATATTCAGAGAGTCCGGTTTTATCCCATGTTTTTTCAGTCGCAGTCCAGCTGGCCTTGGTGAGCTCACAATAGATCAGCCCCACTGTCTCCGTGGGTGGGTGCACCCCTCGTGGTCCTGACTTCTTTGCTCATATTTTCCCTCCTTCTGCTCCTCCTTGGGACATTGGGAGCTCAGTCCGGTGCTCCAGTGTGGGTCTCTGTCTCTATCTCCATCCATCTCCAGATGAAGGTTCTATGGTGATATGCAAGATATTCATCAGTATGGCTATAGGATAGGGTCATTTTAGGTTCTCTATCCTCAGCTGCCCCAGGCACTAACTGGGGACATCGCCCTGGGCACCTGGGAGCCCCTCTAGGTCCAAGTCTCTTGCCAACCCTAAGATGGCTCCCTTAATTAAGATATGTGCTTCCCTGCTCCCCTATCCAACCTTCTTTTATCCCAATCATCCCGTTTCCCCAAGTTCCCCCCAACCTCCCCTTCTCACTTTTCTCTCCCCATCTCCCCTTACCCCCTTCCCACCCTACCCCCAAGATCCCATAATGTGATAAGTTGTTCAAATTGTTTGAAGAAAATGTCTGGTCCATTTGCAGAAGAGAGTGAAATTCAATTTTAACGGAGCATTTTGTCTCAAGTGAGTGTGGCTCTTTAAATTGTCCATGTGTAAACTTCTGAAAATGACTAATAAATCTCAGGCACCAATACACTCCATGCAGGACACATAGGTACAGTTCATGCAGGATATGTGAGGCCCTGCTAGTGAAGTTAACTTCTTCAGCAGTCTGCATATGCAGTCTTGCAGTCCAGAGGCTAGAGAATAACAACACCATGTCTAGATGAACATTCATATAGTCATGTGTGCCAGAGAATCAACAGTAAAGCAACAATTACATGTCGAGCTCCTAGTGTGGTCCAGAAATTATATTATGTCCTCAAGGCCCCTAGGAAAGTAAAAGTTTCTGACCTATGATTTTCACAACCCTGTGAGAGATGCAGGCCTAAAGGACAGACTTGGATAAGGTTCTTAGACATCCTTTTTCAGTATTAGGAAAATATTTCAAAGAGAAATGTGTAACACTGATGTTAGAATTTCAGATCCTTCGGATGTTTTTGTGCCCCCAGCCTACTACACTAACTTATTCTTTTTTCATTCTAAACATCAAATGGAAGTATCAAAAGATCTTTAAGTCTCAAGGTATGCATTTCACCACAATTTACATGGCTATCTTGTGTAATTTTGAAGAATATATTTGGCTAATATTTACAAATACAGTAGTGTTACGAATGGAAGCAAATGCATCTTTAGACTTTAGGTAATAAGTGGGAAGAGGGGCTCAACACATAGTGGTCATAGGATTTCATCACTGTTTCAAACTTGTCCAAAATTACTCGATATGTATGAATCAGTACCAATTTGAGTATGTAATAAGTGGAGTTTTTTAAAGAAGAAAAATTTGTCTTCATCCTTTAGTTGTGTGATGTGTTGTTCTAGCTGTTCATATAGTAATTGCCATTTACTGCACGAGATACCATATACTTGCTGATGTGTTTACAATGTGATTATTTGAATTTTATAAGTAAGCTTATTTTTTTCAATTCAATGTATGCATGGCCCTTTATTCCAGGTGGAATTGAACTGCCTTTGCAGTTGTGTGTTTCCCTCACAACCTAAAACATTGCATCATATTTGGAATGCTGCAGCTGCTCAGCAGCCTCCGGACAACACTAAAACCTGGTTTTAGGAGAGGAAAGAGGGAAGAATAGTGTGTTCGCTGGAATTTTCAATAGGGGATATTTTTTTAAGTGCCTAAACTAAGTCTGAACCAAAATTACCAAGGCAATACAGTTTTTGATCTAAAAAAAAAAGAAAGCAAAACCCCTGTATATTATTAATGGTAAAGGAATTGTTGAAATGGGTTATACAAACAGGCCCGTGGTGTCAGTTTTCCTCTGCATTGATCTCCAATGACCAATTAGGAAAAAAAACAGGAGATGGATGGCTTAGAAATTCAGTTCAAAATGCTTTTTGAACAGCACAGTACAATGACATCATGTTTTTTTCATAAAGTAAGTATTTCTTAGCTGAATTAATCATGGTCACAGGGCATCATGTTAGAGTTGTACACAATAAAGTAAAACCACAATTTCTCACTTTGTGCTAACGATACAGAAGGCTGTTTGCTCCTGTTCTTGATGGGCTCTCAGTTATGGCAGGCAGTGTTTAAAACCTTAAACTTATCAATTTCCCCAAAATACATAAATTAAAAAGAAAGGAGCCCAACAGAGAAGATTGAGAAATTTCTTATTGTGGAGAAACTCTCTCTGTCTATGGAGGTAAAATTCAATGTAGTCCAATGTTCAAGTAATTTTTTTAAAGATTAAAAAATAGCAAAGATTCTTACCATTGTTAAACTGCCTGGATCATAACAGACCGTTTAAAAAGAATAGTTTCACTTTGATAGAATAATATCTAGATGAAGCTTTTCCCCTCCAATTTATGACTTTCGTCAATTTGCCCTATTACAAGATCCTATTGTTTAAGGATTGTAATGACCTATTGATATGTTTAAGAGCAGAAAGTAGTATAAGTCATCCATTAAAGACCATCATTGTTGCTGTGTAATATCTTAAAATGCGTAGTGGTGGAAAGAAAGTTAAGAACTCTAGAGTTTATCTAAGAAAGTGAGAAATAGTAACTATCAAAATATAGAATATTTAGAAACCAGGTCAGTTGTCAGAGTCCAAAATCAATGCCTCTATGCTTTGGGTAATTCAAACATGCCATTGTGACATATTTGATATAAAATTTGAACTGTGTTCCAATGTTATGGAGCTTTCAGAAAATATGATATTAATGAGCTGGATTCCTAATGTTTGCTGAAATTCTGTGCTGGCCCCAGCGTCGTATGGTGAGAACACAACTAAGTGGCTGTTCTGTGATGGAAGTCAAGAGTCCGTACGTGCCCAAGTCTACTCAGATTCTTCGATAGTATCATAATTTTTTATGAGGGCAATGAAGTAATATCTAATTTGTATGATATATACCAGAACTCAATTTAAAGATTCACTAATTTTTATATTTCCCAAACACAATCGTTCAATATGAATTGTGCCATAATCAGTATTTTATAGAGATGTAGATCGTGCTTCAAGTATGTCATGTCCTGCTCTTCTATGCAGAGGCAGCAGGACTGCTATGATTTAAATACCGTACCTTTAAAACCCCTGCAGATTTAACTTTGAAATGTATTTATTTGTTATTGCATTTAACCCTTCTCCCACCATCTGAGTCATTCAGATGCTTTTTGACAGCAAACCCAGCGCTCCCAAAAATGCCATGCAAGATAAATTGTATTATATGCATTGTTCACATAGAGTAATGTACAAAACATGTGGGTCCCTGTTGATTGAGAGAACAGATGTCTGGACTATTTATGAAACCAGAAAGGCATCCTCAGTATCTTATAAAAACAGTAGGATATTTTAAAGCCACAGTAAGTGGAGAATGCAGTTCAAAACTAAAGGTACAGCTTGGGAGGATACATTATTAGCGAATTTTAAATGGAGCACAGGAAATCCAAATATTTAATTTTATTTTTAAAATAAAATTTCAATTAGTCATATAATATAACATAGAATGTTAGAAACATGAAATGTATTGTTTCAAGTGAATCAAAATCTTAAGCCTAGAATGGCATTTTGGGTTTAGCTTCGTGTTGCTTTTTATGTACTAGATTCTGTGTACTAGATTTTTTTATGGACAAATTTTAAATTTATGCACAAATAAGAGGTCTGCTTCTTTTCAAAGCTGTGTTGCTTATTTTTACAGAAAAAGATTCACTTCTCTCCAATACATATGTTACTTTCTATTTTCAAAGATTAACTCAAGTAGTTAATATTTGGTCAAGTATGGTACTGTTTACTTTGGATTGATTTTTACAACTACTTTGAACATGTGTTAACACATCTGTCCTTTCCATGTCAAGAGGGATCACCTGTGTTGCAGAGTCTAGGATCAGGGACAATGTATTTCTCTGATGAAAACTTAGCACTGCTCACCATGGCTGGGCCTCAGTTTGTAGCCCTCACAGGATTCTACAAAGTTCTTCGTGAGCAGGATCCTCACTTCAACTAAGGTTTCAATAGCTTATTACGTTGTTTATCTAAGTTGCAAATTACTGTGAGTTCAAGTCCTTGTGATTTCTATAAAACGTAATTCAACCCAAACAATTTTTCATCAATGAGTTATTTAACTCATAGAGCACAGAGTCAAAGAACTCCAGGCAACTAAGGAGTACTGAGAGAGGGAGAATTAATCTTCCCCAGAAAAGAACACACCAATAGTTATCCAGTACTAAACTAGATTTGGGGAGAGAAAGAAAAGAGAAGGGGATAAATGATGTAACTCTATTATAATCTCAAAATTAATTACTTAAAAAAATTAAAAGTACTTTGGATAGCACCAGCTAATTTTTCTGAAACAGAAGCTCTTGTGTTTGAGAAGTGAGTTCTGGTTCTCCTTCTCTCTCTTTCCCT